CCACTTCCGCTCACCAGACTCCAAGGCCGCCGCCGCCCATAAGACAACTCTGCCTACGGGACCACCTCCTCTGGATCTGCCTTCTCATTGTCGAGGACTGGCCGTTGACACTTAGGCCATCGGCCGATCAGCACGCACGGGCGCGAACCTGACACGCGACGCGAGCACGCGGCTTCGCCGCAGCTTAGTCCACCCGCCGCCACCTGGCCTAGCCTGGGCGTGCATGTGCGGGGCCGAGTCGGTCTGATTCGATCCGCCCACCTCGTGTGGCTGCTGGATCCGCCCGCCCGGTGGCCCTTGTGGCAGCCGCTTCCCACGGCTGGCTACTGGCGGCGCCAAGCGAGCTGCCAGCGCTGGTCTGGGGTGCCGCCACGGGGCCGGGCAGCGGGTGCCGCGCCGAGGCCTAGTAGATCTCGCGCCGGGCCTCCGCCAGGTCGAGAAGCGGGTGATGCACGGCCGGCCTAAGCGCCCTGCTGAGCGTTGCTGGCTACCGGTCTGCGCGTGTGGCGCATGGCACGCGGACTGCTGGGCACTGGCCGCAGCCATGTAGGGGCTACTAGCCGGTAGGGCGGAGTTTGGAGGCGGGATGTCGTGAGGGGAGCCATCGCCGCCCAGGACAGGCGTCGTGGGCCTCCGCCGCGGCCTCGCCACCCGCCGCCGCCTAGCCTAGCTGGGCGTGCGTGCACGGGAGCGAGGCGCGTCCGCCAGATCGCCTGTCCACACGGTTGGCGGCCCTCCTCTCAACCCTTGCTGCAAACACCGGCACTCAGCTCCTCATTTTATATACTTGGATTAGATAACGTAAAAAGGCTTCCTTGCTACTACTCCGATGCTTGATGTGTAAAATGGATTTATTACTTGAGGCTACGCATAAGATTTGCATAATTTGACACCAGCAAACGTACCCATGTCATATTCGACCAGCCAGGTTCCATCTGAGCACATCCATACACGAAAGAAACTCTATGGGGGTATACAACGGAAACAGTAAATATGCCGAGTGTTTTTTGATTTACCGAGTGCATTCAATCGGGCACTCGGCAAAGAGCTGATTTGTCGAGTGTAGTGAAGAAGACACTTGTCATACATATTGCACTCGGTAAAAACCCCAATTTGCCGAGTGTAGTATATCAGACACTCGGCAAACAAGACGACACTCGGCAATGAATTGACACTCAGGCAAAATACTATCACGTGACCGGCACGTGTGACGGCCGTCTGACGGCGTGTCGGCCGTAAGCAAAAGTGCTACTTTGCCGAGTGTTTTTCCCCAGCACTCGGCAAAATTATAAGTTTGCCGAGTGTTTTTTCTAGGCACTCGGCAAAGCCAAAACTTTTTTCCTCTCCTGCCCTCCAAACTTTTTCTACTCTCCACGTACAACATGTGGTACTACATGTTAAAATTTGGTATATTTAATTAATTTATTGCATTTAGAGTAACTTTTTGGTATAAGTCAAATTTGAACTGCAAGTGATTTAAATAATGCAATAAAATGAGTGAAAAAATGATATTCATGTTATTGAGTCCATTTTGAGGCCTTACCCGAGAAATGAAAAGAAATTTCGAACATTTTATTCAGGAAACACGACCACGAACGTGTGGCCGAATGATTTTTAAATTCTAAAAAAAGGAAACGAAGTTTGAAAATCACGATATTTGTCAAAATCTCATGATATCATACGTGGAGACTGTGGTAAAAAATTAAGAAGTTTTCGCACAATTTGTCACGTACGACGCTTACAAACCGAAGCATCTCCGAAGAAGAATCGTAGCGTTGAGAAGAATCCGGTAAGATTTGGAGTCAAAGTGACGGTCGAATTGGGTTTGACTTCAAAACTTTTTATATAAGCAATAGACAACATAGATTGGTTCACGTCAAATTTTGGTAATTTTTCGGATCTGTTTGATAATTTTAATTTATTAACTGCAATTATAGAATTTTAATTGATATAAATTAAATTTGAGCTATAACTGTATGAAATAATGGAATAATATTCGTAGACAAATCAAATATGCATTGTTGAGTTAATTTGACATGGTATTTTCAAATTACATCGTAACAAATTTAGTAAAACACGTTATGAAGGAGGATAAGTGGGCATAAAATATCAATTTATTTTGTCGACTGTTAACTACACGACACTCGCCAAACAATATAGTTGCCTACCCAAGCCGGCCCCACTTACCAGTACCGTACCAGTTGTAAATTGAAAAAAAAAACAATGCCGAGTGCCCGCAATCTGGCACTTGGCATACCTTTACTTTGCCAAGTGCCAAATCGCGGGCACTCGGCAAAGCCCTTTCGTTTTTACCCTAGCCGGCTGCACACTTACTCACACACACTCACACACTCACCCGCACACACACGCACACCATGCCGCATCATCCGGACCCGCCTCCAGCCATTTGGACCACCACCCCCACCCTGCGGCCAGGCACCACCACCCGCCGCTAGGCCCCGCCTTCCTTCCCATGCCGCCGCGGCCCTACCACCATGGCCGACCCTCCCGCCCCTGGACAGCGCGCCTCCCACCACAAGACGGGCGGCCAGCCACCCGGCGCCCCTGCCTCCTAGCGGCCGCCGTCGGGTTGTCCCCCTCGCCTAGCCGCCCCCTCGCCGGGTAGCCTCCCGCAGCCGGCGCCCTCCCCCGGTCCAGTGAGCTCCCTCCTCCCTCCTCCCCCCCCACACACACACACAATTTCCATTCCATTTCTAATATCAAATTTCTATTAAATTATGTAATGTTGAAACCAATAGCCTGTTGTTGATGATTTATTTGCTAGTAAACCAAGATAAAAGGATTTGACTACATTTTTACAGGATGTGAATTTCTTTCAGGGTATAAACAGGCCTTAGGACAGAATTTAGAATTAGGCTTTCTAATTTACTCCAATTAATTAAACTTGTTCACATTGCAACTTCTAATCTGCAGATTCAGTGTACTAATTTGCAGTTGATAAGACAAACCAATTTCTTATGTTGTAATGTTACCCTTACCCATTTTTGGTAGTGATAGCCAATCATTTTCTCCCATTTTTGGTAGTGTACTCATTGTTGCTAAACAAAATAGTTTAGAAAAAATGGGGTTAAAATTGATGCCTTTGCTAAACAAAAGTTGAGCAAGAAAGTGTTGCCTAATTCTGAGCTTTGGTTAACAGATATCTTTTTAGCATGTATACTTTCTTGCTCAGCTTTTTGTAAACTGTTGATACCCAAAGCCAGAATATTTTGTTGCTCAGCTTTCTTCCTCATGCTTGACTGTCAGTTTCTTTTAGCTACAGCCTTGTCTTGCTATGGCTGAAATTAACTCTCCCAGATAAAGTCCTTCCTTGGACTATTGTTAGAATGGTTGGGGTTTGTACTTGTCTAATGTACTGGATATGTACTTCCAAGATTGATTTAATTTCAGTAGACAAGTGACATGGCTTGTTTTATGTTTTAATAGGTTACGCGGCCGCCGCTCCCTGCCTGGAACGTAACACACGGCAAAGGAGGAAGTGTTTGCCGAGTGCCTGGACTGCGACACACGGCAAAGAGGCAAAGTTTGCCGAGTGCCTAGAATTTAACACTCGGCAAATTAGGAATGTTTGCCGAGTGCCCGATATTTGACAGTCGGCAAACTTATCGTGACCGTTTCCGCTCCGTCACGTTACTTTTTTTCGCCGAGCGTCGGTTTCAGCTCTCGACAAAGTCTTTGTCGAGTGCTCGATAGAAAACACTCGGCAAATAGTCGTTTGCCGGCACTGTAGATGCCGTGTGCTGTTTGCCGAGTGTTTTTTGGGCTTTGCCGAGTGCCTGTGGGACACGGCAAAGCTACTGTTTCCGGTAGTGAATATGGCAATTTTCTTATATGTCATCGAAAAAACTCAAGAGTCTCTGATGTGCCATGATTGTGTGTATGACAAATAGGCCCCGTTCGCTTCGCTGAAAAAAAAACAAGCCGAAACACTGTTCCCGCTGATTTGTTGTGAGAGAAAAACACCGTTCCGGTTGAAAAAACAAGCTGAAAAAGACGGATTATAAGATAAGCGAACAGGGTCATAATGGTTATCGCCCCTAACAGTCACTGACAGTGGCATATCAGGGATTTAAGGTTTATATAATCAGTGGCATATAAGGAATTATTCCGTCCAAATACTGGAATGCAGGGTGATGGCCATCACCTGTGAAATCAATGGCACATGTGGATGAATTAATGAAATAATGCCTCCCTTAGAAATGTAGCGACGACGTTGGAAATGATCCTCTTGTGATTTGAGTAATGTGTGGAGCTCCAATTACTAATCTGTTGTTGACGACCGGCTATATACCACATGTCGGACGTGTTGGGATATAAAAGCATAACATACGCATTTCGGATGAGTTAGGTCCCTTGTGAAAGAGTAACCACTTGGGATGTCATGCTCATCCCTTGTATACGGTAAGGGAAGGCCGTCACTAGTGAGAGAGAGAGTCCGATTCCGTTTGTTGGACTCTGGGGAAGTTATCCGGATAGGCTGGGCCCATCACCCACCCTGGTGGGTCTATTCTAGCTACCGTTGCGGTTCCCGAGAAGGGAAGCGGCCATGTGAGCTGGGCTCCCGACCCAGCCCAAACCTGAGAGTTGCTGATTGGGCCAGTCCAACAGCATTCTTGGCCTGGTTCGGAACTAGCCGTTGAAGAAGAAAGAAATAATTAAACCGCCCTCCAAATCCTCGTGAGTGCTTCCCTCCGTGCAGGTGATGGTCACTGGCCAGTGGCCCCACCCACGCTGCCGCCTCCCTTTTCGGCTCATCACTCCCTACTAGCCGTTGGCGCCCATTCCTCCCCTCCTCTCATCTTCTTCACAACACTCGCTCTCCCGCTCTTCTCCATTCACTGCAGGCAGAAATCTCTACTGCTCTTCTTCCTCCCTCCTCGTCGCCGAGCTCATTAGCTAGCTTTGCTTCATAATCCTCCAGTAAAACACTCCCCAATCCCCTTCCATTTCATCCCAAATCATCACCCACCACCACCACCATGCCGCCGGCGCGGAGGCCTCCACCGCGCCTCCCCAACCACAGCATCGCCGCCGCACCCACGCTCCTCCTCCCTCTCCTTCTCCTGCTCCTCCTCTCCCCACCAGCCGCCACCGCCGCGCAGCACCACCGCCACCACACCACAGGCGACGGCGTCGTCATCTCCCAAGCCGACTACCAGGGCCTGCAGGCCATCAAGCACGACCTCTCGGACCCCTACGGCTTCCTGCGCTCCTGGAACGACAGCGGCCTCGCGGCCTGCTCAGGCGCATGGGCAGGCATCAAATGCGTCCTGGGCAGCGTGGTGGCCATCACGCTCCCCTGGCGCGGGCTCGGGGGCACGCTCTCCGCGCGCGGCCTCGGGCAGCTCGTCCGCCTCCGCCGGCTCAGCCTCCACGACAACGCCATCGCGGGGCCCGTCCCGCCCTCGCTCGGCTTCCTCCCGGACCTCCGCGGCCTCTACCTCTTCAACAACCGCTTCTCGGGCGCCCTCCCCGCCTCCATCGGCGCCTGCGTCGCGCTGCAGGCGTTCGACGCCAGCAACAACCGCTTGACCGGCGCAATCCCCGCCGCCGTTGCCAACTCCACCAGGCTCATCCGCCTCAACCTCAGCCGGAACGAGTTTTCTGATGTCATCCCCGTGGAGGTCGTCGCCTCCGCGTCGCTCATGTTCCTCGACCTCTCCTACAACAACCTCTCCGGACCCATCCCCGACGCCTTCGCCGGATCCGACAAGTCGCCGTCTTCCACCTCCAAGCTCGTCCTCGAGGATGACGACAGCAGCAGCAACGACAAGGAGGCCATCACCGGGAGCTACCAGCTCGTCTTCCTCAGCCTGGCGCACAACTCCCTCGACGGGCCCATCCCGGAGTCCCTCACCAAGCTCACCAAGCTGCAACAGCTCGACCTCGCCGGCAACATGCTCAACGGCACCATCCCGGCGCAGCTCGCCGCGCTCTCCGACCTAAAAGCGCTCGACCTCTCCGGTAACACTCTCGCCGGCGAGATCCCGCCAGGGCTCGACAACCTCACCGCGACGCTCCAGTCCTTCAACGTCTCCTACAACAACCTCTCCGGCGCGGCGCCGTCCTCACTGGCGCGCAAGTTCGGGGAGCCCGCGTTCACGGGGAACGTCCTGCTCTGCGGGTACTCTGCCTCCACGCCCTGCCCGGCGTCCCCGTCCCCCGCGCCGGCGTCGCCCGGGGAGGAACCACGCGGGCACGGAGGCCGGAAGTTCAGCAGGAAGGAGCTCGTGCTCATCGTCGCCGGGATCGTCGTCGGCGTACTCGTCCTGCTGCTCCTCTGCTGCCTCCTGCTCTGTTTCCTGAGCAGGAACAAGAGGTCTTCCAGCACTACTGCTGCTGGAACACGGAGCGGGAAGCAGGCGGCCAAGGAAGCCGGTGGTGCTGGCGCTGGTGCCGCGGCGGCCGGGCGCGGCGAGAAGCCCGGGTCCGGCGCAGCGGAGGTCGAGTCCGGCGGGGACGTGGGCGGCAAGCTGGTGCACTTTGATGGGCCGCTGGCGTTCACGGCCGACGACCTGCTGTGCGCCACCGCGGAGATCATGGGGAAGAGCACCTACGGCACGGTGTACAAGGCCACGCTGGAGGACGGCAGCCTCGTGGCCGTCAAGCGCCTCCGGGAGAAGATCACCAAGGGACACAAGGAATTCGAGGCTGAGGCGGCGGTGCTGGGACGGATTCGCCACCCCAACCTGCTGGCGCTCAGGGCATACTACCTGGGGCCCAAGGGTGAGAAGCTACTCGTGTTCGATTACATGCCCAACGGCAGCCTCCACTCGTTCTTGCACGGTCAGATTTCTGCTCTTCTACTCTGTTCATTGTTCAGTACTACTATTCATTTCTGAATTCTGATATACAGTATGGTTCACAAATCGTAGTTCATAGCTAATTCATTCAGCTACTGTTAAGCAATTCGTATGAGAAATGCTAGGGACACTGCTAATTGAGAGGAAATATCGCTAAGCATTAGGAAATTTGTATGTCAACAGTTATAGCTTGTTAACTGCTGTCTTCTAGTATGTTTCAGCAAATGCTTAGTCTCAACATCTACAGATTCAGTCATTGGAAGACTGATACAACTGTAGTTCTGTTAGCCTGTTCAACTTTGATTTGCATAATTTGCAGAGTTTCAGCAAATGCTTCTTGATTCAGGAATTGTAAGACTGACAGAACTGGGTTTAGACCTGTCAAAAATCCTGTCAGTCAGAGGTTCAGAACTCGTTTAGTAGTATGCACATGCACGGACTGTTTGGAGCAGATTTGGGCCAAACAAGGGATGGATTAGGATTTGTAGTTAAGAATTGATTGCCTCAACATAAAATTTGTTGATGATTTGTCCACAGCTAGACATTTTTCGGTAGTCAGAAATCAGAACCTTTTGAACTGAAACTTTGTAACAATTGTGAGCTGAAGCTCTGAAGTTAAACTGACACTGTGTTTCCTGTCAATTGGGCCTAACAATTGATAAATTAGTTATTCTTTGTCCAAGTAAAGGTCAAGTTATTGTTTGGATAGTACCTCATCAGCAATTTGTTCAAGAATTCTGCTGATAAATTTGTTCCCAGTTTATTCATGTTATTTCTTAGTATCTATGCGAACTGAAACTCTGCACTTCGACACTGAAACTGACACTCTGAACTTCGATGTCTGCTAATGATGATCTGTTCAGCTCGTGCTCCGAACACGCCGGTGGACTGGGCGACGCGGATGACGATCGCCAAGGGCACGGCGCGTGGCCTGGCGTACCTCCACGACGACATGAGCATCGTGCACGGCAACCTGACGGCCAGCAACGTGCTCCTGGACGAGCAGCACTGCCCCAAGATCTCCGACTTCGGGCTGTCGCGGCTGATGACGACGGCGGCGAACTCGAACGTGCTGGCGGCGGCGGGCGCTCTGGGGTACCGCGCACCGGAGCTGTCGAAGCTGAAGAAAGCCAGCGCCAAGACGGACGTGTACAGCCTGGGCGTCATCATCCTGGAGCTGCTGACGGGCAAGTCCCCTGCCGACAGCACCAACGGCATGGACCTGCCGCAGTGGGTGGCGTCCATCGTCAAGGAGGAGTGGACCAGCGAGGTGTTCGACCTGGAGCTGATGCGCGACGCCGCCGCCGCGGCGGGCACCACCGCCGGGGACGAGCTCATGGACACGCTCAAGCTCGCGCTGCACTGCGTGGACCCGGCGCCGGCGGTCAGGCCCGAGGCACGCGAGGTGCTGCGGCAGCTCGAGCAGATCAGGCCCGGCCCTGAGGGCGGTGCAGGGCCGAGCGAGGAAGGTGGCGCCGCGCATGTGCCGGCGGCTTCTGCTTCTGCAGGAGATGATGAGTAAGCAAGCAGCGCCAGGCAGGAATTACGAGAAAAGAAGCAATGGTTTAGCTAGAAAGAGAGATATTTAGGAAATTCTTTTATTTGTTTGTTCGACTGGAGGGATTGGATTACCCACCCCTTTCATCATTTCTTGCGTTACTAGGTAATTTTCAGTTTGTATAGGCAAATATTATTTGCGCTAGAATCATCGCTGTAGCAGTCTACGACGAAGAATGAAAAAGAGGAGAATACTACTAGTATTAATAATGCAATTTTTTCTATTTGATATATTTGGATCAGCATGGCTAGTTTCTGAACTTGCTACTGTTGGTTGTACAGCAATAGCCTGAATTCACAGATTTGACAGTTACAGGTTGCAGTATTGTACGCAGTACAATAGTAGTACTGAACGCCCTGTTCGTTTAAGTTTATTCAGAACTACTTTTCAGCCATGGAATAATATTTTTCGCTCACAATATTTCAGCATAAGCATCAGCATAATCCAAATTTCAGCATCAACGAACAGGGTGTGAGATCACATGAACAACAGGCCAAAAGGCACCTGCTAGCTACGACTAGTAGTCAACTAAAGATTTGAGTAAATATGCAAACATTTCCCTGCAACAAGCTAAGGTCTGGTTCAGTCAGATGCAAACAACACCAGCAGCTCTTCTGGAACGTTACTGAGGAATTGGTACTGTTAGTCAACTGAAGATTTGAGTGAAAATCAAGTATCATCAGTTCAGTTATGTCAGTCCCTTATAGCAGCATGCTCTGCAGATAGAATATTTTTAGCACAACAACTAATATTTCCATGCACATATTGTGAGAAGTTCAGGCAATGGAGAAGAATGAAAAAGAGAAAAATGTATACTGCTAGTATTAGTAATGCATTTTTCTATTTGATTTACATGTTCATGGTTAGGAACCGAGGATGGTATGAGATCATGAATAGTTCATTAATTTTGCATAGTGCTTCATGCCGTCCAACAGTTGGCGTTCCTGTGTGTGGGTCAGGTCACGGATGGAAATTAGCTAGAGGTTAGTAGCAGTTGCCCAGCATGAGAAGCAGTTGAACTTAATCATCAAGGTTAATCCCTATACTTATAAGCATACTGCTGTAATGTAATTGAGGTGGCAAAACACACCTAGTACAGTCACACACACAAAAAAAAAAAACACAGACACACCTAGTACTACTCAACTGAAGAAGCTTGTCCAATCAGCTTATTGGTTAGGCAATGCATGCAAAGGAACTTTTCTTACTAACCTTTTTCATGACCTGTTAGTATACTGAACTGCATGCCTGAAAATAGCGTGACTACCAAACATCCTAACCACTGTGTGTCTGGACCATTACAAGCATGCATATAGTTGTTGTGCAATCCCTTCAGGTAAAGACGAGGCATTGACTAATGGCTATTTCAGTCGCTCGAGATCTAACGGTATACTTATATATCAACGCCAAACCTCTTTCCTTTGCAGCTGCCGTGTTCGGATGGCAGAAAAACACTGCAGCATGTCAGCATCTACATCAGTTTCATCAAATCACACAGGTTAGTGGTTAGAGCTGTTCTGTGCACGCCGGCAACCCAAACAACCTACCTAGCCTATTAAAAGGACGGCGAGAGCTTTGCCGCAATTTTTATTAGACGAAAAAAAAGCGCAATTGTCCTCTTTACTGCAATCAGTTTTCATTTGGTGCGAGGTGTTCAGACTTTCAGCTTAAGCTCTCACTGATGATGAACGGCTTTCCGCCTCTAGACTGTTTTTTTTTTTTTTTTTGAAAACGCAGGAGAGCTATGTTTCATTATATTAAAGAGAAAGGGTGGTCCTCAACAGGATCCTCAGACTGAATGTCAACAGATTGTACTATTAATCAGTGTGTCCTAAATACCCTTCCCTTTGCTGCAACTGGAAACAAGCATATGACCGGATCAGACCATGTTTACATACCAACCTTTTCAACAACTATTCATTCCTCTCTAGTGCGAATGTTGGTTAATTCTATTCCCTAGCTAGCTATTATTGTTCTTTTTGGCTCACCTTCTCCTGCTAATCCTCCAGTGGTAGATATTCTGTCGCATTATTTCTCCATGCAAAATCAGTTCTTAATTCTTAGACTGATCAACAAGGGTAATACCGTGCGTTCCATATTCCATGTTTACATCAGTGGTTCATTACACCAATCAGGTTTCTCTGGCAACTATACTGTCATGGAAACTTGTTCATCACTTCAAAAAAACTTGAAGAAAAATTCCATCAAGTACAAGCTTTAGAGCCACAAATTAAAAGGCCTAGCCAAGACAAATGATGGCATGCATGCCCAACCAGATACAAATATGCACTGCTGTGAACCATTTCTGGCTTTGAATACAAGTCTAGAGTACTGGACGAAACATTTCATCAAGACATGCCAGTCCATCGCAGGCCCAAAGAAGCATGGGAAGATCATTGCGTCCAACTTATTTGTGACAAAAACTGCACGTGCTATCTGAATGTTGTTTGGCGATTCTTTTGCTTCAATTATTTCCGGTTAAAAATGGTTAGTAAAGGTGCTTTAAGCTTAATTATTTTGGTAGAAGCCAATTGGTGTTGGCCATTCAGTCGTAGTCTGATTGTTGGTTGCACAGCACAACTGCACAATTTCTTGGCTCCAACTTCATGGTAACCGTGCAGCTAACCATCACTAGGTTAAATTTCAGGTGTTTCAACTAATCACGAGCGGAATTTCGTTTTGTCAGTGAGTACCTGCACCGATATAATTTTATCGTTTGAGATTTATCTGATGTGTCACACCTTCATTACATCGCCAAGAAAATTCAGATTTAAGATTGGTCAGTCAAGCAGTGCTAAAACATGCGGAATTGTATTATGATTCTTTATCGTAAAAGTAACCATCCCACCTCATGATTGTACTCGGTTCTGAATTTTTGTTACTTAACATATATTGATGCAAGTTGAAGAAAAGTTGCGCCGACACATGAAATATATCATTTCGTTTTTTGAAGGACAAGTAGTGGAGCACAAGAGTTGTTAGATGCCTCCAAATTGGCTTCAAGCTACATCTCAGCCTCTCAGGCTTGGTTTAATTAGGATATTTCTTTTAGTCTTTCTCCACCAGGCAAACATCACCATTTTGTGCTGAATAGCATCTTTCTTTCTTGTCAAGATTCTTGCTGTTCTTTGCATTTGACTTTTGGTTGCCTTGAATTGTAAGAAACAATCTGAGCTTAACAGATTGGATACTTGCCTACTGAATCGATCGATGTTGCATATGTGGTGGTTAGCATGTAGCACACACCACGCATGTTGCTCTACTTTTGCCAACCACCACAGCTCGTGGACATGAATCATTTGATGGAACATGCATTTGACAATCTTTAATTTCATTTCCAAAATCTATCAAAAATATATATCTAACCAATAATTTGTTTTCATTGTACATAAGAGTGATTAAACTTTTGTGACCATTAAACTGTTAAAACTTAACATTATTTTGATCATCCACCGGTGCAAATTAAACCATGTACTGAAAATTCTTTTATAAGTAAAATAGAATAGAATAGTACATATATAAGTCAAGAGTTAATTAAATTTACTATTCTCAGTACATTAGATCCCTATACCAAAAACACACATCATAATCAATCGTTGGCCGAATGATTGATTATGATGTGTGTGGTATAGTATAGGGATCGTCGTTACTTTGTTTAGTGGTGCAAGCAACGCAAAACGAAGACCAATCTAGCCATACTGATGTGCTTTTGATCTTTGACACAGAGAAAGTCAGAAATGTTGTTACAGTCAAATAGCGAGTTATAATGCCATGTAAAATTTGGCAGTGTGATATCAACTACTAAAACTAAAGCAAAGGCTCAGTTTTTTTTTTTGAAAGATCCGGTTTCTTAACTTTGATTTATAATAAGGAGAGGTAGCAAACAGCCGTTACACGCGCGAGGGGCACTACCAGCCGCAGCCTAGGCTACAGAGCTTTGAAGTTCTACATGAGCTTATTACATAATAGATAGTTGTGCGACCATTAGGACCTTTGGTAGCTTCATTCTTGCTGCACTATTCGGTCCCCACACATTCCAGCTCACCTTCGAGCTCAGGATCTTGGGGCCGCCGCCGGGGGTGGGAGGGGAACTCGATCTTGTCCCTGGCATCGATGGGCTTGACGGTGCAGATTGAAGCTTCTAGCAAAGGTTTGGGGGCTAGTGGCGTGAGGCCTATGGTGGGGGCGGGCGTGGTGGTGGAGGTGGTGGCTGAAGAGGGGGCTGGGGCTGGTGGAGGCTTGGGTGGCGGCGCCGTCGGTGTGCCCATAGAGGGAGCAGAGAGGGCGAGAGCCATCTCTCAGATGTGTAGTCTTCTTTCCACGGAGCTCGTCGACCCCAGCGATTTCCGACCCCTGTCGTACGGCGACTGCCTAGTCAGGAACGGTGGACCAATCGGCCCTAGCCCAAAGACTGAGTTATAGAGCAGATATAGAGATTCATGTAATGCTTGATGTCATAGTCAAAAGGAGGAAAGAAAGTTGTAAGTAACCATAGTGGCAGAGGGAGGGGGGCCAAGACCCCACCCCCTAATTCTATACAGTTATTAATTTCAAATTTGACCAAATTTTAATAAAATTTATACTGCTGAAACCCCCTTCCCGCAAAAAAAAAAAAAAAAACACATTTCTGGGTCCATTATGGTAACCATGTTCCTCCTTGTCTGTCATGGGTCATTATATTAGATGTGAAAAAGAGGTTTCTACTACAGGAGCAGAATTAGGAACAAAGTCTTTGGGTCGAAACAAAATGAAACAAAAGCTAAGGATCCTTTGTGGAAAGTGGAAGCATTTGGGCTCCACAGGCTATGATTCCTTAATTTGTGCACAATGATTCTCCTAATGGAAACATACCTAGCATAATTTAATAAGATAAAGAATCATGTGATGCAAAATGATCATGCTAAGATGTCGTTCGTTGCAGAGAGATCTACGATACTCAGTTTCAGCTAGGATATATTTTTGGC